GGTCATCTTTTTTAAAAAAATAGGAGAGTGCATGAGAAGCTCACTTTCTTGCTTCTGCCTTTCTTGCAATGTGATACCCAGTGTCACTGAAGTCACTGCCAAAGAAGGCTCTTACCAGATGTGTTCCCTGGACTTTGGACTTCCTAGCATCTGACACTGTAAGCAATAAATATTGTTTCTTGACAAATTACCTAGTTCCAGGTATTTTGTTATAAGCAGAAATGGACTAATACATTCACAGATTGATGAACATTTGGGTTGTTTCCAGTGTTTGCCTCTAATGCACAAAGCATCTATAAAAATCAAATGCAGGGGGCTGGCTGGTTAGCTCAATTGGTTAGAGCGTAGTGCTAACACCAAGGTCAAGGGTCCAGATCCCTGTACTGGGCAACCACAAAAAAAATACAAGTCTTTGCGTGAACATGTTTTTATTCCTCTTGAGTAAATACTCAGGAGTACATTGCTGGGTCATAGGAATATTTACACTTATAAGAAACTGTTTTCAAAAGTAGCTGGACCATTTTTGCATTTCCACTGAAAATGTTTCAGAGTTCCAGTTCCTCCACATTCATACCAACACTTGGAAAGTCAGTCTTTAATTTTAGCCATTTCAGATTGTGTTAATAAAATCACTCTTCCTGCAGAAAGGAAAATGGGTAGAAGGGGGCAAAAGATTAGTTAGGCAGCTTTTATAATAATCTGGGTGGGAGGCTTTGAGAGAAAGTTAGAAAGCCTCTGGCCAACTTTCACATCAGTGGAGATAAGGGCTGCAGGAAGAGGGACAGTAAAGAATTTACCTCTGGATGTGCTGAGTACACTGAATACACACAGCAAACGTGGACTTGACCAGGGTTGGACTGTGAGTCACAGAGCTCTTGACCCCCCTTTGGGGACTGGAGACCCAACCAGTGGGGACAAGGACAACAAGGCAAAGAGATAGGTCTTGTCTCTCCTTGCCTGGGACTATAAAATAAATCCTCACAGGAATAGAGTTATAAGTAGTAGTTAGTTATCTTTTGAAGTAATACCACATTACAAGAGCACTCAGTTAATTCAATAGTAATTTACAGAGCAGCTGATCTTGATGGGCACTGTGTCAGATCTAGGGACACAGATATGGGTGAGACATATCCTGCCCTCAAGTTGCTCACAATTTAGTAAGCGAGTGAAGGGAACTGTCATTTTCTAACTGTTTCCCCAGGAAATTGTGTTTCTCTAACACTCT